ATTTGAGTTGAATTACTGAAATAAATGAACTTTTCCACGACATTCTAATTTATTGAGATGCACCTGTATATTGTTTTTGTCTTCTTTGGAGTCTCTATTATTAAAATACGCCCTCTAGAGATTCTGCACTGTTTTTAGTTGTACTCTATGGAAAATAGTAAGTCTTACAGGTTTAGAATTACATGAGAAATAAGGGTGAGATCCATTTCAAAGTATTAAATGTTGGTGTATGTGCATGTGTTCATACCTGATGACAGACTTCTGATAGGAGGAGCAGGCAGCTTTCTCCTCTGATGGCGAGAAGAGTCCAGTGTCTGGGGCTGGCAGGAAAAACATTAAATCACTAATTCTAAAATCATTACACAAATCCATTGCACTTATAAGTTCAAATGCATCCTGTTTGTCTTTAAAATTCAAAAAGTGTAATGCTGATGAAACTCACCATAGGTTTAGATTTGTACTTGGAAAACCTTGTGCATGCAGATACATTTAGACCTGCTGTTTTAAGGGCTGATATTCTTGCCTCAATATCTGATATCTGCAAAGAACAGATAAACTTCTGAATTTACACTTGAAGTGTTTGATACTGTATCAGTAGCACATTTAGGACCGGTCTGCATTATGTCACATGCAAGCACACACCCGGAGCTCGGACTGCTGCACCTGGGTGGCAGCAGTGGCCACCTGATCTTCTAGAAAGGCCAGCTCAGTCTCTGTGGTGGAGCTGCTGATACTGCGAGCACACTCTTCTAAGTCACTTAGCGCCTCCTCTAGGCTGTACACAGCACCTGCTGCCAAATACACCTGCACACAGTTCACATCATCACAAAATTAGATCAGAATTTCACAGATGAAAGGGAGAACTGCATGTTTTTTTAATACTAAATGTATTTTCAATGACATTAATATATACAATAAAATATAAATATAATAAAATAATTTTATAATAAAAATTTATAATATAAAAATGTATAATAAAAAATAATAAACTGTTCTGTAACAATATTTATACTTGAAATATTAAATAGAAATATACCATTATTATGAATTTAATTGGAAATCTTTCTCTTCAGGTTTACTTGTACTCCCAGGGGTAGAAAAACAGTGAACGTAAATTAAAAAAATATTGTCCAGGTTATATTTGAATAATTTGCTTTGGCTTTAGTAGAATATTTCTGTAGAGTAGGTTTCAATGGTCATAATTATGGTTTGTCTTAAAAACACTAATCTTGGATTTCCCATCTTCATTAAAAAGTATCAAAAACAACACTAGAACATTTTCCAGTAGTGAATCTTACATTTTCCTCCATCTTAGTGAGGTGTTGGTCCAGTTTCCTGTTGCCTGGGCCTGAGGACATGGGTGTGCAAGCCAGAGAAGGGTCATGACCTTTGCCTTCTGCCTCTCCAAGTAATTCTTCTGTGGCATTCAGGACCTTCAGAACCTCTGTGGTGATGCTGCATAAAGATGCAGCGGAGTACTTCTGCTCCATATACATGAGAGAACACATAAAACAGATGAGAAAACCACTGATAAATAGATATGCAAAACTGATGGAATTCAAATGCATATCAGGTGCTCTTGAAACTAATTTCCATACAACATTTATTAATAAAAGAATAATAAAAAAAAGAAATGTTGAGAGGATCACAACTTCCACGTAGCTCTCACTCTCAGCTTAATTAGCTGGGATGTATTGCTTGCATGCTCAACCTGTTGGATCAATAAACAGGATGAGAGGATTATGAGAGAAGAAGAGTGTGACGTGGATGTACGTGGATGAGAGATGCTTGAACATCTCAGAGGTGAAAGGTAATCATTGAGGGTGTCTTAAAGTGAGTAACACACATCCATCAACATACATATTTGAATATTACAGAAATAATTTACTTGAAAATTAATAGTCATTATTAAATCAACCTCATGTTGTTCAAAACCCGTATTTAGTACAACGTATTTTATCTGTGGAACATAGAAAAAATAACAGCATCCAGGTTTGTATGGACATGAGGGTGAGAAAAGAAGACTTAATATTCATTTTTGAGTAAACTATTTCTATAAGAGATAACGGGTCAAATCACAATGTGCCAAAAACTCTGACACTACAACAGAGCACACGTCATCGTAAGACTGTGAAACAACCTGGATGAGAGGTACATTTGTTCTTGTCAATAAGCTTTTCAAAGTGTAACAGGCATCAGAGTTCATTTAGAGTACTAAGCCATCAATATGAGATGTACTTGTTGATGTGCGTGCTTGTAAGTAAGACAGTAAGCACACATGGGAGAGGGTAATATGATGAGACAAAATTACTTTTCAAGATGAGAAAGTGAGAATGAAAGAGACAGGAAGAAAGAGTGGAGCAGTGTGATTCAGTAATGAATACTTGAGGAATCAATTAATGGTTGGGTTGGTTTATGCTTTGATCACAGAAATAATTGATCCAAACTCAGTTCTAAAACCATGAGTGCCTCGAGCTCTTAAAGGGTCGGTGTGCACGTAAAAATAGACCTGTATAGTGAAGGAACATGTAGAAAACTGATGTGCAGAGCTAAATAAATCTAACACCCAATGAAAGTTAAAAGACCACATTCACACAATCTTAAAATCTTAAATAAAATGTAGAGCACATTTATAATGTATTGATGCTTGCCCAAAAGGGGAAATTGGTAGGGAAAACTGCTCCCTTATTAGGCTAAATGGTATAGCAATAAAGACACAAATCTCATGTTCTTTAGACATGTTAGACAAATATTTTGGATAGACAATAATTTAACACAACATTAACATACCTGTAGCATGAAAATGAGCTAGTTTAAAAAAAAAAAATCTGTGCAGGTTTTTGGCAGGATGTGTACTTGTCTATTTTATGCAACAATTAATTTTATAAAACAATTTAATAATTCTGACTTGTTGCTGAAATTATACTTAAAGTATTTTAAATTATTTATCTACTGTAAGTTTACTTATTTTAATATTAAATTTTTAAAGTTACATTCAGCTGTGCCCCACATTTTTCAAGCAACCTTATTACTGCATTATTTTTTTGCATAATAAAAAGTTCATAAAATTGTGACACCACTGAAATTGCCTAATTTGGACCTTTAGAAATTAAGATTTTGCCTAAATGGTATAAACTACACTAATCATAATTCAATCTAGTTGCCAAAGTTATTGTAAAACAATAACCAAAATATAACACATTAGATACATTTACAAACTACAAGCCAACATGTCATTTCACCCTTACTGAGTGAAATCTAAATTTGAATGAAATCAGTATTCCTGTTGCCCATTCTGCCATGGTTTGTTATTACAAATTTTTCCTATAAATTCATGAATATGTTTATTGAAATTTTGTTAGACAAACACATGAATTCTACATAATATTGAAGTAACAGTTAAAAAAAAAAGAAATTAAATTTTTTATTCAGAAAGGATACATATTAAAGCATGATCAAAAGTGGCAATAAAGACATGTATAATGTTACAAAACATTTAAAAAATAAATGTTCTTTTCAACTTTCTATTCATCAAATAATTCTGAAAAAGTTTCATGGCTTCCAAAAAAATAAAAAATAAATAAAAATTAAGCAGCATAACTGATTTCAACACTGATAAAAATAATAAATATTTATTGAGCTAATCAGCATGATTTCTGCTGAAGACTGGAGTAATGGCTGCTGAAAATTCATTATTAAATGAATTCAATTCATATTACATTTTAAAATAGCTATATAAAAATACAAAACAGTTATTTTAAATTGTAATAACATTTAACAAAACAAAAAAAAGCATCCTAGGTGAGCCAAAGAGACTTACAAAAATTACATATAGTATAATAAGTATAATAATATAAGTAAATATAGTATATTTGTTATTATTATTTTTTTTAATTAAGGCCTGTTTTGACCCATGGATAGTAGCAGTAAACATTTTCAACATAATGAAGAGAACCGAGCAGCTCAGAACCAGAGTAACAGGTTTTTGTTAAACAACATCATGTTCTGCTCTCAATATCACCACCAGTTCTGTAGATGTAAAAGAAATCTAAAGGAAGATTTTCCCCCACTGTGTGTATCTGACTCTAACAGACTCTGCAATGTCATGAGCAGGTTCTAAGGCAGGAGTATGAATGGACTGGATTCAGGAGGCATCTCTCCAGCTCTACTGCGTCTTCTCATGATATATCTCACCTGCTGTAAGAGAGAAGAGTAATTGAAGCCTCTGCTGCAGGGCATTATCACTCAGACCCTCCTGGACCAACAGGAGGGGGTTGAAAGAAAGAGAGAAACACAGAGACACAAAGAGAGAGATCGGACAGAAAGACAAATGAAAGAGAAAAACAAAGAAAATGAAGTAGAAAGAAAGATAAAATAGATGAAAGACAAAAGACAAACTATTAAAGGGATAGTTCACACCAAAATGAAAATTCTGTCATCAGTTACTCACCCTCATGCCATTCCAACCCTGTATGACTTTCTTTCTTTTTTTATGGAACACATTAGGAGAAGTCCTGATGATTGTACTGGTTTCTGTTCTGCATTTCCAAAAGAATGCAAATGCACCACATCGGTGTCAAAAAAGTTGTCAGTGCAACTTATGCACTATATTCAAAGCAGTATGTTAATTAAAATTGTCCTTATTCACTGATAATCTTCATCTTTGGAAAGATGTCAGATATGTGAACTAATCATTCAGATTAGTTTTGTCAACCAGACCGATTAATTGAAAAGATCTGATTCAAAAGAATGATTCACTCACAAATCAGACATTGCTGCATCTCTCATGAGCAGATTTCAAGATTTTCAGTGTTTCTATTCCATAGTGCTGTAGTTTCCTTTTTGAAGCTTGAAAGCAATCTCCATTTTTCACTCTTAAAAATTAAGGTTCCAAAAGGGTTTTCTAGCAAAAAAACATTTTTGGATTCCTCAAAAAACCTTTCAGCGAACAGTTCTTAAAAGATACTTTTTTTTTTCTTAATGTAAAGAACATTTTAATAATATACAGAACCTTTTTCACTATAAAATGTCCATTAAAGCTTCTTCATGGAAGCACATTTTAAGAGTGTCATAATGAGCATGGATAACAGTCTTCAGATTTTCTTTTTTTTTGTGCGTGTATGTGTGTGTTCTAAATAACCAACAAAATCATAGTGGTTTGGAAAGACACAAGGGTCAGTATATGAAGAAATAGTTGTCAATTTTGGTTTAACTGTTCCTTTAATATAATGGACAAGATGCTAGCTGGAAATGAAAGGACTGGACCAGATGCCAGGTGAAGAGAATCCATAGAGGAAGACAGTGCTGCTCTTATTGTGCATTCCCTCGTCAGCATCAGATGTTCTCACAACATCTAGAGAGGTTCTATATTCATTTCTGCAGGCTGGTTCATGCGTCACACATTACCTCATGCACGATACAAGTCTGAAGTGGCAACACAGAATTGAGCTTTCATCAGACATGCTTTTCTGTGTGAGCTTGATCATGACTTCTCACCACCAATGAGAGCGAAGATCTTCGTTCTGAGTTCAATTTGTAACATAAATGTAAGTTTAAGGGTTTGATAGAGTGCCGGAATTAAGGATCTAGACGAGCAGGCATCTTCTAACGGAGCTCAGTCTCTTATAAGGCACCACATAATTTACACAAGTAGGTCATCAACATCCTTTGATATTCCTGTAACCACATTCAACCAATCACTATCCTCTGGTTTTAGGTGTAGGGCTGAGATTGGTTGATAAGAATTTTGCTTTAGGATCAACAAAGGATATTGATCTGCAAACTCATCCCACTTTTGTAATCACATTAAGTCTCAGCTTAACAACAGTGTGCAGTTTATTATTTAAACTGGAAAAAGGGAAGTTGGGTGCATAACATCACTTGATATTCACAATAGAGAGTGAACTGGGACTCTATTCCAAACCACAGTGAACTGCCTATATGCTCTTTTAAAGGGGTGGTTGATTGCGATTTCACTTTTTTAACGTTAGTTAGTGTGTAATGTTGCTGTTTGAGCATAAACAATATCTGCAAAGTTGTGGTGTTGAAAGTTGAATGCAAATGGAGATATCGTCTTTTAAAATTCTGGCAGTTTAATGCCTACAAAAACGGCTTGTAGGGACTACAACGAGTTACTTCCCAGGTTTGTGACATCACAAACCCAGAAAAACCCCGCCCCCGGGAACATGGAACGAAGCAGGCGAGGCCATGCTGCGCTGCTTTAGAGAAGAGGAAGAGAAAACTAGAGGTGCACATAAAATCTGTTCATATATGAATCATGATTCTGTCTTCTAACGATTCTAATGGTTTCACAAGTTTCAAAATCCATGTTCTAAAGCAGTGGTTCTCAATACTGTTCCTCACGTTCCCCTGCTCTGCATCTCTCTCTCTCTCTCATTCAGTTCAGCTCCAACAATGAACTGTTCCATTTATACACTTATTTTCACATAGCTATGAGAAGCGTTATACATGGTTGTATAAC